GGGGGGGGGCAGGTTAAGGAGGGAAGGGAAAAAAAAAAACGTTGTGGGTTTTTTTAAAGGAGTACATCAAAACTGGGGGTTTTACCCCCATTTATTTGTTACAGATCTGTGGTGGATTCATGCCTAATAGCAGGTCAGGCACCAGATCCCCAGGCTCAGCACGTGCTGTGTGCTGGAGTGGCAGCAGCCACATTAACCAGCATGGGACAGACACAGGTCTCAGCTGAGCAAACCCCACATGGCCACATCCTCCATTTGGGGCCTTTTCTGCCTCCCACAGTGCTGCCAGACCAGGGTGTGCAACAGGCTGCTGAACCCAGGCCAGGCTGAGAGGGACCCCAAAGAGGAACCTTCCCTGCCTCCCCCTAGCTCATGGCCTGTGAGAAGATGCTGTAGAGTCAAAAAGTCTCACCACAGCCCTGAGCATGACTACTAGGGAAGTCCAGAGCTGCCACACAATGTTTTCTTCCTATTAAATGCTATTCCCACAATGTGCTTTGACTACAAATTGTCACTGCCCATAGCAGGCGCTGATGAACTACAGGCAATAGAGATAACAGCATCATGGATATGAACATGCTCCCACACCATTCCCGTAGTCACTGCAGCAGAGCTGGTGAGGACCCCAATGAGATACATGGAAGCTCTTCAGCGTATCCCATAGATGATCCCCCCAGCCTCCATGGCCAGTCCTACTTCACTCATGCCCCCAGACTGGTTGCCAACCTAGTAAGCTTGATTGTCTGGTTTTTAAGGCATCGTAGAATGAGACACTGTCCAACAGGATCCTTAACTGCAAAACATCTGAACATTCAGAAGTGGATTAACCAATTGCAAACTAAGACCATGATTTTATCTGCTTCAGCTATCATTGCCTGAATTATTAGGGGGGAAAAACAAAACGAAACAAAACACAATCAACAAAACTCACAAAACCCCCCAAGAAAAAAAAAAAAAAAAAAAAAAAAGCCCCAAACCTCAAAAAACAAACAAACCCCAGCACCCCCCAAACCTAAGCCATGGATTGCCATACTTCAGGATCAGTTGCATTAAAAAATTTGGCAAGTGCTCCACAAGCACATTAGCTACATTTCAAATACCTAGTCTGGTTTTTTAAGTCTAAATCTCAACCCAGCTGTAACACAAGCAAAAGCCCCCTCAGAAAGGGTGTGATTAGTGTGGTGAAATGATGGGCTTCTCTTTGCCATGCATTGCTGATCTGCCCCGCAGCCAAACCTGGAAGGCTCCAGTTTTCCCAGCTGAGTAGAAGACAAGGTTAGTGCTGCAGAGCTACCATTATAGCAGCATTTACAGGGCTTGAGGATAACAGGGATGATTTTGGACTTCCCTGGATTGCTCTATGCTGCTGGCAGCCCTGCCTCCTGCTCAAGCACCCCAGGGCCAAGCCAAGGTCCGCAGCACGGTTCTGGGCTGCCCCCCTGTGCTAACCACACACATGTCCATGCGGCCCACAGCGAACAAACCATCCCCATCCTCAGGATCAGCTCTAAGCCCAACACAGGGATATGTCTGAGAACTAAACAGCCACTGCCTGCTTGCCAGCTCTGCAACACCGTAGGCTGGGAACAGGGATGGCAGTCCTGCCAGTGCCCCTGAGGATGGGGTAGGGGTGTAGGGGCAGCTTGTTGCTGCAGAGAAGGACTGGGGACAAATTCTGTCCCCAGCAGCAGTAATGTTCTCCCCCACAGCTTCTCTGTCCCATTAGAATCAGGAGAAGGTGAATGCCATCCTTCATCTCTTCTTTTTCACTGGTTTTAGGGTCCTCAGAGCCTTTCCATGGAGATTACAGGATTTTTGTCTATGCTGCTTAGAAACACTGAGGTGGCTTCACCCACCTCCCATGAGCACCTGAAGGGATGGCCAAGTTTCCAAGATGTGGCTGTGCTCTGCATTGTGCTTCTCACCTGCAATTCTCTAAAAGATAAATGGGCAGTCCTGGTGGGACTGAGCACCCCAGTCTCATACAAAACCCAGCCAGACAACACTATGCTACCCTGAGATTGGGTGCTGGGGCCCTAAACGGAGCACCCTGGGGCCACATGGTGCAGATCTCCACTGGTAAGCAGACTCCACCATGAGAGCTGCTGGGTTTTGCAGGTCATTGTCATGAGGACCAAAAGGCATCTCCAAACAAATGACCCTCATTCACATTGATGGGGGACATAGATTTACAAATGAGAGCATGGGTGTTTGTGGGGACAGGATTGAAAAAATTCCCTGCAGGTTGGTCTTCTGGGCTTTTTCCCACCTCTGGAAATGGTGCAGTACTTCTTTGGAGAGCTGAGACAGCACACCAGTCATTTCAACATCTGGGGAATAACTAACTCGTGTTCAAATGCCTTAGGATGTGGCATAAAAAATACAATTGCTAGCAGTAAATTACAAAGTTTATTAACATAGTCTCCAAGGGTCATTCAAACATGCTGAATCACAGGCAAAATTGGTACCCCTTAAGTAATCTGCATTTTTGATTTATACTTACAGCATTCTTGAGGATTAATTTTTCTCTTGATTATATAAAAGCAATAAGAAGTGTATTTGCTGATTTTTTTTCTTTTCTTTTTTTTTTCCAATTTGAAGTTAGGCAGCATTCCATGTTATTTCTTCTCTCTTCTGTTTCTCACAGTATAAATTGCATTCAAGGAAGAGTATTAGTAAAAATGGAGAAAAACAAATTTAATTCTGCAACATGGTATTAGTAAAAAGGCAGATGCCAGAAACATCTATGAATAATGCATAAAGCACCTTCTCAGAGAAGCTTCTTTATGCAATGAGTTTTAAAGGTGACATGGCAAAATTTGCACAGAGATTTTAAATTTTCACAGTTGAAGCTTTGGCCTTTGGTTTACACCCACTGATATTTTGAGGGCTCATAAGTATCTCAATGCAGCATGAAACAGGCCCTTTTTATTTTCCATGGCATCTACAGATGATGTAGGAGCTCTTCACAGGGAAAAAATGCTGTTTTCTCCTTCAGCGCCACTGAAAACTTTTTCAAGGTCTTCTGCTGGTCCAAGGCTGTAGTGAGAAACATAAATTACTATGGATGGGGCAGAAGCACATTGCTGCTTCAGAGCATCCTTTCTTATGTGTAATGACAGCAAATTACCATTGAAACGGAGACCCAAAGCTACTGCGTTCACTGACTTCAATGTTGCAATGTCTACTTTTTACACCAGAGAAACATTTACCTTGCTTGCATTCTTCTAATGCATAGGCAAGGGTTGTTCAGATCTTATAATGACACTTGTAGTGTAACGACCCTGGGATTTGGAAGAGTCCCTCCCCAGTCCTTATCTCCTAGGTGGGGTATGCAGTGAGGGTCCATCTACCATTGAAAAATGACTGACCTTTGGCAAAGGGATGATACTTGTCCTGGTTTTGGCTGGGATAGAGTTAATTTTCTTCCTACTAGCTGGTACAGGGCTGCGTTTTGGATATAGTATGAGAATGTTGATAACACGCTGTTTTAGTTGGTGCTAAGTAGTGCTTTTATCCTAAGTTAAGGACTTTTCAGTTTCCCATGCTCTGCCAGAAAGCAGGTGCACAAGAAGCTGTGAGGGAGCATGGCCAGGACAGCTGACCTGAACTACCCAAAGGGATATTCTATACCATAGGACGTTGTGCTCAGTATGTAAACCAGAGGGAGTTGGCAGAGGGGCATCGGTCAGTGAGTGGTGAGCAATTGCATTGTGTATCACCTGTCTTTTCTTGGGTTTTATTTCTCTCTCTTTTTGTTATAATCCTTTATGTTATTGTATTATTATTATTATTATTATTATTATAGTCTATTATTTTTGTTGTATTATATTTTAGTTTAGTTATTAAACTGTTCTTATCTCAACCCACAATTTTTAATTTATTTCGATTCTCCTCCCTGTCCCACAGGAGTAGGGAGGACTGAGCAAGTGGCTGTGTGGTTCTTAGTTGCTGGCTGGGGTTAAACGAAAACAACATTTCACTGGACTACCCAGTGATTTGTCTAGAGAAAATCCTTTTTTTAAGATAAGAGAAGACATGAACTTATCAGTTACACCTACACAGGGTGCCTCATCACACTTCCATATTTCATATCTGCCTCAAAACGGTCACCTCAGATACTTCAGTGTGACCCAAGGAGAGTGTGAGAGGATGCAGCAGCCCCATGAAAGATTCAAGATTTATGTAGTTGTGGAAGGCTTTGCCACAGTGCTGCAGCGTGCCCTTCATGGGGTCCATTCTTTGCATATTGGCATGAATTGCCACTCCATGGAGGACTGTCCATAATCATTTAGCAATCATTTTGCTAGTTGATCATCAGAACCATTTCTTTAAAATAACCCCACCAGGGTCATGCCCTGGTATTTGATCACAGGATAAAGCAGATTAGGAACTTCTTTAAAATGGGGTTACTACATAACCCCAGTCACTACATAACTGGTAAGTACCAGTTGCTGAATTTCTCCAGTGCTCTGGATGTCTGTTCATTGCTACATAGCAGCAGTATCCCAGAACCACTGTTGGATTTTCTGGAGTGAAGTTATCTGAAGTTTGCCTGTAATACAACTTCAGCAGTCAGTACCACAAGCCAATACTACACCCATTACAATCAGCAGACAATACCCTCCTGCCTCTAAGAAAAATTACATTGGAACTTTTAAAGAAATTACAAAATTAATTACCTTTTTATTATAAACTTCTTTGTGTGTTTACCTAGAAGCAAAATAATATTAATGTCACAATGGCAAAAAGAAATCTGTAATTCTAATGCATCAGTCAGATGAGTTCAGAAACAAAGATAGCAAATTGCAAAATTTTTGTGGGCTAAGAAGGAAAGAAAGGATCTCATTCTGATTTAAGTTACACCAATGTCTGTCAGGAGCAATTCCAGGAAACTATGGGACTTCTTTACTATAAAGCAAGAGCCAACAAGATGAGCCAGACCTGCAACAAGTGAGTGAACAGGTTCTTTGCACAGGCTTCCTCCTGCTGCATCCCCACCAACTCATGCTCCCTGGTCTCCTCGTGGTGACAGAGTCCTGGAGTAAGGACAGCAACCCCCATAAAATTAACAGTGTGCTGTCACAGGAGCCATGGCAGCTATACCAGAAGATTAACCAGAGATACAGAAAGACATCTGCCCTAGGCCAGCATTAGAAACACTAATCAATTACGTGCTCAGGGATACTTACGTTTCCAGAACAACGAGACCATCAATATGAGAATAATGGACACTGCTATGAGACAGGCAATGAGAATGGCATAGCTGGGAAACTGGAAGGAAGAAGAGAAAAACTGAAAAGGCTTTAGAAGCATGTTCACTTCAGACTTATCACACAGTTGACCTACTGGCTAAGAGCTCTGAAGTGTCTTGTTGGGCTGGAGTTGGCAATGCTTTTCTGAGCTTGCCTGTACAAACTATGGAGAAGACACATCAGGTTGATCATGATGAACCATATGAATTACCTGTTAACTATGTAATAAATCTTCTTACCAAGCATTTGAGCCTAGATTCATTCCACTTAACATGAACTTCTTAATAAGGTTTCTAAAGTAGAAGCTTAGCCACCCTCATCCTTCTCGTAATTAGAGACCGGTAAGTGTAACGACCCTCCTAAATTGCCTTTTGCCTGGTCACACCCCGAGGGGTGACATGGGGATGAGGTTTTTCTAAAGTGTCCAAGCCAGATGGGATGGTCACAGGCTTTGGTTACATCCACTGGGAAGATGAATAGAGGGTTCCTAAGCTTCTAAACAAAAGTTCAAGCTATTGTTTGCAAATACTGTCCCTTTAGTATGAATACATTGAAAATCACTAGCACGTCCTGCTGTCCTTCTGGCTTGTAGTTAAAAACTTTTGAAACTTAGAGAAAGTTTTACCTTATCTCCATTATCATCATGCTTCTTAGTATTGCTGTCCGAACTTGCTGAAATCCAGGAAAAGAGATTGAAATTATTACTGGCACAGTCACCTGAAGGAGTGAGAGCCACTGTGGTTGTCACTGCTTTAGCCAAGGAGTAATGAACTCTCAGGGACTGAGGAGGGCTAGATCTGGCCCTGAGTAGGAGAAATAAAGCATCTTGCAACCAAAAGCGAACAATCTGTTTCCGCCACAAACAGTGTATCAGGCAGCTATTGGGAAGTGTCAGTCTCCATCAAGGAAAGAAAAGACTTCCCAGGGACAGCCCATGAATCTAGACAGTAGAAACTTTTCTGCTGTGAAGGAGTTTTCACTTTTGTAAGTATGACAAGAAGTTGTAGAGAGCAGAAATATTAACCAAGGTACAATTCTAAGTGGAGGAACAGCCTCAGTTTAATTGTAGTCAGACTTGTGTGAGACTGCAGTTTTTGAAAGATGCATTAGTACTGTAAACCACAGGAAACATCTTTACGTGCAGATAACTTACCACAGATTTAAGAAAGCTCTATGAAGATAATGCCTTTTTTTTTTTTTTTTCTATCTAGGGATATTAAGAATAATTCCGTTCTAGTTTTCTTAGTTTTGGTAATAGGGATAAACTAAATGAATGCTCAAGAACTCTTGTGGAAAATTTTCTGCTGTTATCCTATGATCCTGCTCTCTTACTTTTGCTAGTGAATTTAAAGACACAAAAAGATATTCTAGGCTTGGGCCTTGGCTCATCGTGACCTCATGATACAAAGTAGTGAGGCTTTTCAGTGTTTGGAGCACTTGTTCTGTCACAGGAAGCACCCAATATTTAGCAGCATCTTAAAAACAGAGGAGTCACTCAGCTTAGTGAATTAAAACCCCAGTTTACATCCTATGATGAGGAAGTTCCTATGCCTTAGGTTATGACTTGATGTATAAAAAGACTGTGATGAGCTGTGCTTTCAAAGGTTTGTCAAGAGAACGACCATGGAGTCTCAATCTGAGCAAAATGTACCAGGGATCAGATGAGTCATTTGTTGAGGCATGTGTATGTAACACGCTTGTGGTGCCCAAGATAGCAGCCAAAAGAAACTTTATATGCATGAGACACCCAGAATGTCACATGGGGATGGAGGTGATCAGGTTGTCACAAATAATCCCATTCAGAAACAAAAAATCACCTTTTTTCTTTATTTTCAGATATGTTTTTCAGTGAATAACCTAATCTCCCCCAAATTTCTTAGTTCTGAACAGCTCTCTCTGAGAGCTGAGTTGATTTGTCTCCATGTACCAAATAACATGCTTGCATTTTATCAAAGACATAGACAGCTCATATGTATACAACCATAGATAGAAATTTGCACTGGAGTAGAAAAGTGATGATGGTTAATAAGAGCTACAGCTAACCAAATACCGGTAATTAAACCCTAGCAAGTGCTAAAAATCCCAGGGATACACGAGCATTGCAACCTGCCATACACCTGTTTTATGACACGCCTCTTTCCCTCTTTCAGAAGAGAACTGTAGTTCAGCAGAACTACCCCCAAATATAAAAGCAATGCATCTCTCACTCTGACATGCACTTCCCACAAGTCACAATTCAACTTTCTGGCAGCACGCTGCAGCCTGGCTGACGGGAGCAACGATTGCTGCTTACTTCCCTTACCTGAAGGAGCAAGGGTTCTCTTTGGGGTCTGAAGCATGGTTGGCACTGGTGGGGTTGTTGCTGGGGGACAGCAAGAAAAGACAGAAGAGAATCTAAACCAGTCTTCAGAAACCAACCACCCCAGCTAACCCAACCTAATCTGGCAAGGATGGTTCTTGGAGATGGAGGGCTCTCTCAACCATGGGTTTCTCTCCCAACCACTGTTCTAACATCAGTACACAGTCCAGCAAGAAATTAGCCTTCCCTTACATTTCAATAAGGCTGAAGTTGGCCCATTTAGGGCATTATTTCACAGAGTAAAAGGAGACTGAGTTAAGAATTTAACTTGGCTTATGGCTCTTACTAGACAGTGCTCAATTATGCTGCAGCATTTTCACACATTATGACAGTTACGCTCTCGGAAATAGTATGACACAGTTTTTGCATGGGTAGGAGTGTACATGACTCATGTAAGCACGGTACATTTTCTGCTGTTATTGCTTTTTGTGGTGGCTCTTTCTAGCCCACAGTCACAACTTAAGTTGATTCCAGAATGCCAGAGGAAGTTTGAAAAACTTCCGGCTTACAATGGCAGAATATAGGTATTATCCAGAACCATATCAGAAAGGTGACAAGTGAGAAAGGGGTGGGGCCTCTCCAGGGGCATTAAGGAACAGTTTCCTAAACTATTTCTGCTGTAAGTCTCTAGGTCTAGCAAAAGAACTGCAAAAATCTACTGGTTTTAAGAATGAAGAGATTCTTGGCACTAACTGAAACTTAAGGGATTCTCTTAACAGTCAAATATGACACGTCATCCCTGAAGTTTAGCTTTCCTTTTATTAAGTCCTCATTTGAGGGCATCTGGTGGGCAAACTATCACACCTGAGTAACTTGACCCATTCTGGTTTTTAACTTGACCGAGACACATAAAGTGCAAACTTCATGTAAGTTTGTTCATTTCTCAGATATGGTGTGACTTTGTACACCAGTTCCCGTGGTAACTGCCTGTTGCTTTCCACTGTAACCAAGGACATGTTGAGCGCTGGAGAGCTGAGCCTGCAGCCACATCTGGCTGAATATATTCAGGGAGGCTCAAAGCTCACAACACTCAGGGAAGATATAAAATTGAAAGCTCAGTGAACTCACAGTTATGACAAATTGGGTATCTAAGAATTCAGCTTGGGTGGTGACAAAGATCAGTTCTTAGCTTCTCTCAGACCCAAGATATTCTATAATAGTGAGTGACTCACAACCTACTTCCTTTGGAGGCTTAAAACATGTTTTTCTTGGCTGTTGTTACATCCTGATTTCAAACAATTTCTGTGTGGACCTCAGATACCTCTTACTTCCCAATACAACTAATAGCTATCAGTACATGTTTGCTATGCTCTTATGAATAGTCAGTAGTTTGGGTTATGTTTTCATTTATCTGGTCATGCAACTTCTGACCTTGCAACATTATCTTACCCACCTGAAGTTGGCACATCTTCCACCATGAGAGAAGTGTGAGCACTTCTAGTTCTCTCTGCAGTCAGAACCATACTTGGGGTTTCAGCAGTCACTGAAAAAAAGTAAAATGTGATGCTTATAAAGATCACTGGTTGGGAGGGTCTTCATATAGCGTTCACAATTGCTTGCACAGTTCAGCACCTGCAACTAATAGGTGAAAATCTGCACCTTTCATGTCTGCAGCTCATTCTACACAGATGACTGATGTACTTTACTACCATGGCCGGTGGTTAGATGCTTTAACTGTTTAGCTCTAGATATAACTGTTACCAAGTTTAACTGAGGCACATTATTATGGCTGGAAGACAAGAGATGACATCGAAAAGCTGTCTGAGGAGCTCAAGTCAAAAAGAACTTCAAGTGATGGAAGACTCCAAAACTGTACAAAAACCAGCCTTGTGTGCAGACATCAATCTGTGGAAAAGAAGTCACTGTGTGGATAAAGTAGCAACCTAGGAGCAGTTAGTATGATAACAGGTTACCCTGAACAACTAAATATTACTAATAACAGCAGCCTTCATATGGGATGACAGTGTAAATGCTCAATTTTAACTCAGTGTTTTGAATTCTCACTGACTATTGCTCAAGCAGAACATGCTCTAAACTAACCTTTCAGCAGACCATTACAATTGTCTTTCTCAAGTCAGGAAAAAAAAATAGTGCATAGTTGAGTGAGTCTCTCTTACTCCATCCCAGGTGCAGGAATTTGCAGTTATTTCTGTTGTACTTCATGAGGTTTCTGTCACATTATTTCTCCAGCCTGTTAAAATTTCTCTGAAAGCAAGCCTGACTCTCTGCTTGGCCATTCACCCCAGTTTGGCATCATCCACAGCATCTGACCCATGTTTCCTTATGCCTACTGAGACATACCTATAGGCATCTCAGAGAAAACTTCCCAGATACAAATATAACTTTCTGGAGAGTCTCTATGATGCCAGAGTCAGGCTAACACAGACCATCTCTACTACACAGAAAAAAAAAAGAAAGGACTGGTGCTGGTTACCCTTTGTACCTCCAGGAAGAGTGACAGATTCTGATGGGCAGAACATGTCGTCATCTTCAGTCCTCATGTCAGCTGCTTGGAAACCAGTTGAAAAATCTGGGAGAGCACTGGTTGTCGCTATAGTTGCTGGAAAAGAATCATTTGCTGTCACAGCAAATGTTGGGTGAGCAGTGGTCTCCAGTGTAATTACTGCTGGAGACTCGGTGGTTACAGTCGTTGCTGGGGGGACAGTGGTTATCAGGACAGGAGCCTCTGCTGTTGTTTGATGATTGGGGGTTGCAGCTGTTGCTTTAGGGATGTTGGTTGTCAGGAGGACAGAATTCTCTGCTGTTGTTTGACAATTGGTTGTTGCAGTTGTTGCTTCAGGGACGTCGGTTGTCAGGAGGACAGCAGTCTCTGTTGTCGTTTGATGATCAGAGGTTGTTTGGGGAGCAAAAGTTGTTTTTCTAAAATGTCTGGGAGAAACGGGAGCCTTTCTTGTAGTGGTTACCCTCACTGGAGGGGCTGCATGGAAAAAACATAGCCAAGAGAAAAGCTAGATCAGAGCATTCACAACTGACACTGAGGAAAGCCAACCCAGAAATGACTGAAACTTATCTAGCTGCTAAAATACTAAGAATGAAAGTGGGAGAGTCGCTATTTAAAAGGCTGTTTAATTAGCAGAAAACATGCCCCAGCCAGAGCAATTCCCAGATTTACAGATTTGCTTTTTCTTTTGGTAGATTTCAAACACATCCTCCTTGACTCTCTTAGAGACATGGAAGGGCCAGAACCTTGTGTGATAGAACCCAAACACTTGCAAAATTTGTGATTTTGATTTTCAGTGTCACCATAAAAGTAAAATAAATAAAATAGCTCGATTTTCAGCTACAGACTTCTTGCTAATGTTTTCAACCAGTCCTTTTTTATGAACTCTCTTGCCCTCAAACTCAGGAGTAGACATGGGATTGCAGCATTTTCCCCCCATTCTCCTGTTATATCGCTCACAGGCATACAAAAGTGCTGTGTACATCAGCACCGATTGCACTCCTGGACACCCTGTAAAACACAGGAAAAAAAAATTCAGCAAAATAATAGGAAGGGGAAAAAAGTCTTTCAAGACTCTGAGACAAAATTTCTCATGTCTTCTTATGACATGAACCAAATGAAAGCCTTTTGTTGTTAGGGTATATCCCAAATGAAAAATGGAATTTCATTCCAAGGACTCTTCAAGCAATAAATCCCATTTTTAATTACATCATCTTTTAAAACATCAAATATAGCTACACCATGAGAAATTAAATATTTCATTTAAAAGGTAAAAAAGGGTAAAAGTTAGTGTTTTCTCATCAAAACTGCTCATTGAAGGTTATTCAAATTGGCAACTGGTTGCAGACCTCCCCCGAAAACTACACAATTTAGGAAAAACACTTTTTGCCAAAAAAAACAAAAAAAAAGCACACATAAACTCAAATTTTAAACATATCTAGCAAGAGGTTTCTGACTACTGGCTGTATCATGAAGGTCCCCAAACTCACCTCTGACCTCCAGCTGTATATTCCGTTTGATGTCGTTGAACCAACCCGCGATCTCTATGCGGCAGCAGTATGTACCTGCGTCTTCTGCCTTCACTCTCCCAATCGTGAGAGACACATCTCCAGAGGAAATATTGCCCCGGAGACTGTATCTCTGAGATTTTCTGAACGTCACCCTATTCCCAGTGGTGTGCAAAATTTTGTTAGTGCACTTTGATTTTGGGCACGGGCCTCTGCCCCAGCACATATCGGAGATGTCCTTATCTTGTGCCACGCGGTAGGAGCAAGACAACTGAACAGGTTTCCCTATTACTCCTCTAACAACAGCTTGGGATGCAGTGTGCACTGTCAAGGAAGAACAAGGAAAGATGAGTGTTGGCCATCTCTACCTATGCAACACAGTGAGGCAGGAAAAGGAGCCCTGCTGCCTGCAGGCAGGCCACGGCTACTGATCCCCAGAGCCTTCCCCCAGAGCCTTCCCCCAGAGCCTGGGGCAGCTGATGGAGGGCTGGAGGGCTCCGTGCTCTGGCCCCAGCCAGCTGCTGGAGGGCTGCTCACAAAATAAGTCGTTCACATCAAACGTGGTGAGCGAAGCTGAGGTCTGTCGCTGGCAGCCCAAGTGCAGACTAGACTTGTGCAGATGGAATTTGGGAACGCTGCTCCCATCCCGTGTCCTCTCCTAAGAGACTGTTGGAAAGTTGTTCAGAAACCTGGTGCAAAATACATCTGTTTTTTTCAGTCTACCATCATCGCCTTCAAACAGAAAATGCTGTCATGGTTGCATTTCACCGACAATCTCAATAGCAGGGTCCAAAATACCTATTCGTGTGTGAAATTAGGGCCTAATTAATCTGGCAGAGCCGTGAGATCTGTCTATGGGAATCTGTTCTCAGAAAGTGCACTGCTTTTTCTCTTTCTGAGCAAACCCTGCCAACTATCCCACTTACCTTGCATAGCACTGTGTACACAGCAGCTTTAACTGTTAGTGTTACACTGATGTTAAAAAGAGCATACACATGCTTTCCTTGTGCTCCTACTCTTAATGATCAGCTTTACTTAGTATTTACAACCAATACCCACCTTAGCATCTGGTTTGAATCTTTGTTACATATTGTTCCCTCCTAACTGTCTATGCAGTTCCCAGGTTGCCCTGGAAGGGATTTCTTCTTCATACAAAAATGGTTCCCATACAGGAAAAAATCTTTTCTGGTTTACATTCATCTAGTCTGTATTCGTCCTCCTCCCTTGTTGCCTTTTCCCTCCATGTTATCATTTACATAGAGCAGAGCAGGAGCGGAGGGACCTGGGGAGCATCCTGATCCCATCCTCTGCTGCAGCAAGAGGATCATCCTGCAGATCTCATGTCTCATGGCCAGCTTTCTTATCCCAAAGAGGACTTACAGCAGTCGCTGCTGTTATCACCAGCTTTGGCCCTGGTTTGCCAAATATTTCTATTTTGCCAGCTGTTTGAATGCCTTTTCTTTCTGGCATGACTCCCAGATAGCAAACATATGCTTCCAACTGTGTCCATGTCCCTTTTGTTTTGTCTTTAATGGACTATTCCCCAGGTGAGGCTTTAGTCTGTGGCAGGCTGCCTCATGACTTGTTATTGGGATGACATTTCAGCTTCATTATTGCTTATTCGGCTGGCAAGATAAGCCAACTTGTTCAGATTTCCACAGCTCCAAATGCTAAAAGAGTAGAGGCAGACAAAACAACATGCAATATGGTGTGAAGGGCAGAAGACTTTGCAGTGAAATTAAGGTAGGATGGGCCAAAAAATGAATTCCTAAATACAGGATAAGGCTTTGCAAGATGGCTGCTTGTTTTAGTCCTTGGAAAGGATAGGTTCATTTGCCTTATTACAGCAAAACAAACAGAAAAAACAGCCTCTTTCTGTGATGACAGAAAAAACCAGTTCATCTAATTGACCTTGAAAGCATCTCTAGAGGAGCAGAGTGTTAGTCAATGAGTGGGTTAACTCATATTTTCAAGCAACAAAGATGTGTGCAAAACCAAGACCAGCTTGAACTGTTCCTGGAGTTAAGGCCATTGCTGCTTGAGGAAAAATGAGATCATCTTCTGTTCTTATTTCATCCCAGTCCCGCACAGCACAAAACCAGTTTCATTAAGCAACCCTTTACAAATTAAAATTTGCCTTCTCTTTGAAAGAAGCAGAGCCCTGAACTTATTAAATAAATATTTTTTTAAAAAAAGAAGAAGAGGGAAAACACAAGGCACCAGAGTGTCTCCAGTGCAGTTTCCCATCAGTACTGGTGCTAGAAAGTTACAGGTTTTGCAGTTTCAAATCCTCTTTTAATTTATATTAAGCTAATGTTCCTAGCATCTGCCTGCACTGCAGGTTGGTTCAGAAAGCTTCAATACCACAACAGCCTTGATTCAACAGTATGAACCTCTGTAAGGATTAAATTACTTCCTTCTCAGCTACAGCCTCTTCACAGACACATTTTTCAATAGTCAATAGGACTGAATGAACATGTCTTTGAAATTCAGAGGTTCCTGAGACTCTTATATTGTGACACACTAGTCTTACTGTGAGAAGAATCCTACCCTTGTCTGTGGCAGTGATCCTCCTAGGCATCCAGATTTGACCCAAGGCACCCTGAGCATCAGCTATGCCTTAGTAGTCCCACTGAAGTCAGCGAGGTTTGCCACTCTAATTCCTTAATCCAAGTGAGAGAGAAACGGACTCCAAATGTTTAATGTATCTTCCAAAACAGAAAGAGCTATTCATAATTCTTCAGATCATACACATATACACATATTTACCTATAATCACTCTTGAACCAACCCTCAGTGACAGTTGGTATTAAGCAGTCACTCCAATAGTTGATGTTGTAGTGGTCTTCTCTCCCATAGACTACTCACTGGACTCCCTTTAGGGGCTCTTGCCCCACTGAAAGCGGGTGAACCACATTCCTGAGCCACCTCAGGCTATTTGGAAACTGCATTGCTGATGCCTAAACGCACATACAGAAATTTAGCTGATACCAACCACACTTGCAAGACCCAGTCTCCCAAGTTACTCTTATTTGACTTCTATCTCTTTTAGGATTCAGATTTTAGATGAGTAAAATGAACATTCTGGAGTAAAAGGAGACAAATCTCTAGCCATGCTTTTCCATACTCAGTTCCCAGCAGCAGACAGACCTCAGAGTTTCAGAAAATCCTTTCTTTATCATGTATACACATTCATTACTCTGTCAATATTTCAATTCCCTAGCTTGGGCTGTGTCAGCACTATAGACAGACGAAGCAAAGCCAGCAATACACACATTTAACAGTAGTAAAGAAATTAGATCATTTGTGGGAACGGGAGAATTAACCAAGCCTATACACAGAGGAAACCACATACATTTTTTAAAAGAAAAAAAAAAAAAAGATAGGTATTACTTCAGTAAGTTAAGAAAGCTTACTTTTTCTGTTTACAATTCTGTATACAGGAAGTTCTGTGTACAGTTACAACATTTTCATTGTTTTGTTTTCACAAAACAACTGTTGCTAGTTTTAACTTTATAAAATTTGTTTTCTGAGCAAGCACACAAAAAGCAGGTGAAGACTCACCTATGAAGATCTGTATCATAGTCCAGTGAAACAGCACAAAATGGGACATTTTAGCTGATGGAGACTCCAAGGCAGTGAGTGGAAGGAGAAAAAACTAGGTCTTATACTTTCCAGAGATGCTGAGTGAGCCCTGCTGAAGTCTCGTTTCTCCATTTTCAGATTTTATGTACTGCAACTGCTTTTTTCCTACTCTTATGGATACAGGCTGGTCAAAAGAGATGATTTTCCTGCTGTATTTAGCAGTGGTGTGGCCTCACTTCGAGCACTGTGTGCAGTTCTGGGCCCCACAATTTAAGAAGGACATAAAAGTCCTTAAATGTTTCCAGAGAAGGCCAACAAAGGTAGTGACAGGGCTGGAAGGTATGTCCAATGAGGAGCAACAGAGGGCTCTGGGTTTGTCTAGTTTGGAGAAAAGGAGGCTGAGGGGGAACCTCATTCCTCTCTACAGCTTCCTGAGGAGGGGACATGGAGAGGGAGGTGCTGGTCGGTGGATAAGGAATTAGCTGGATGGTCGCACTCAAAGAGTTGCAGTCAATGGCTTGATGTCCAAGTAGAGAGCAGTAATGAGTGGTGAGATATGTCCCCCAACAGCATCAGAGAGGGGCTATTGTGCTCGCAGACCTGTTGGACTGAGTAGTACATTGAGTAGGAGGTTATCTCTCATTAGCCTCCTCATCCATCACACCACCACCATTACAGTGGCAAGAAGTCGATAATACACTAGGCTCCAGCAAAGCCATGATGCCTGGTTTCTTTCACCAACACATAGCCAACCGATGGTGCTGTAGCAAACTTAGTGGCAGATTCAAGCAGTGTGAAGTTCAGAGAACTACTCTGAGTTTATTCTGAATGAAAGTGATGCTGCAGTGCTGCTCCGTGCCTTCAACATGCTTCAGGGCAGCATAAACAGCAACCCGTGGGGATAGACACAACGATACATCAGTGTCGTATTGTCAACGTTATAAGGCAGGTTAACCAGAAATCAGTAAAATGTCTGATTTGCTATATTCTACCAGGTACGATCCATACAGTGTCAGGTACACACAGCCCCACCTGTTCTGTTAACAGAACTAATGAAACCTGATGTCCAGTATCCTGGAAACTCTTCCCTGCAATGATCCCAGTTTCAACTTTGTCTCCCACCGCTCACCATTAAGCAGTGGCTGCAAGACCATACACAGCTGATGCCAGTGCAGGGAGCAGCTGAATCCCACCTGGAGCACAAATTTAGGTCTTCATCCAGCTACCAATTTCCATGAAGCTTGTCAAAACCAGAATTGGTCAGTATGTTGCAGGTGACTAGGGAAGGAAGAAGATGTCGGCTTTGTTTCTTTAGCAAGATTGGGCTAAATGCAGCAAAGTGAATTGAAAAAAAGCCACCCAAAATCCAAGTTTTCTGGGAAGAACCAGAAAAATGTGGATTGCTTTCTGCTTCTGTACTGCTACCTAGTGGCTTCTTGCAGGCAAAAAAGGAAAGGCAGAGAGCTGTCTCAAAACAAAAAAACAAAACAAAACAAAAAAAAAATCCATTTGTAGCTCATTAGTTTGCCTTATCATGCTCAATGTGCAGCTGCATAATCTCTAAATGGGTGAACAGGCTCCAAGTGCCACCTGCACATCTCTGGGGCTTATTTGGAAATGCCTGTTCCAAGATCCACTGACACAGGTGGAAGTAATAAAAAAGTACAGGGAGCTTCTCCCTGCATGTATTTGTATTATGCTGTATATCCAAGGCAAGGTTCTTGCTCCACACAGCCTTTGCAGAGTTTGTTTACCAAGTAACTGCACAGCAGAAAGGAGACTTTAATAAAGGTTTTGGTTATCCGATATTCTAGAACTTTATTTTGCATGAAAGCTCTCTGATATAAGAATTAGTCTGAATTAGTCCATAATATCAAGAAAAAAGTTCTCATGGGCAAGTAGTTTTCATGATTAGCAGTCTTCAAGGGTGGCCCTCAAACTCCATAAGAGCATGAGTGGTTGGAATCAGATAATTTTGGAAACCCCACACTTGGCTAACTCTAATCCCAGTAGAAATTGATTTGGTAAAAGTTGCAGAAAGCAGAAATTGCTGAAATGGTTTTCTGAGATCTAGTTCAGAGACCAGATCAGACTTCCTCCAGTTCTGGTCATGGGCTGGAGCCCACAGCAGCAACATGCTCAGCCAGGCAGAAGGAAAGCAACGTCTGCAGGGGGGTCACTCAGTTTAGTAATTGTTACTAATAGTCAGATACAAAAATACAGTCTAACGCTAGCAGGTTCTTTCTCATCTTGGTACCTTCTTACACAAAGCAGCATGTGACTTGAAGACTGAAGATGTCAGAGATTATTTCCTCCACTGCTTCTCCTGGCGTACAGATCAGGAATCACCTAATATCTGTGCTCCCCCACTGAGCTCTTCAGTCAACCATGAATTCACTGCCACATTTCCAAACTTTTATGCCTGCCCCAAGACAACACACGGCAGAAGTGAAAATACAAAGCACACCAGGGTCACCTATCCCAACTTGCTTTCCATTTCTTCAACAGGGTGAGGAGCCTTTCCCTCCCTTGGGAGTCTTTGCACACTCACCTGCAGCACCCCACCTCAGCCAGGCTCTCCAGGACTCCTGGGGAAAACACTCCCCTCCCCGGACTCCTCAAGTCCTCCCATCTCTATCAGCTAGGGGAAGGATGGGTAACTCTCCACTGACCCCAGCTCCCCTTAAAGCACCACCAGACCATGGCCCCGAGTGGCCTGTCTCAGCTGTTAAGATAAACACCTACTGATTTTATTATTGCTCCTTTATGCCTCATTGGATAATACAGCATCGTTCTTCACATGACTCCCTTGTAAATGAACTCCAAGATAGAAAGTCTGTCGTAAATCTGCAAGTCTTCCCCATGGCAGCAATGTCTGCTTTAGATATTCCACATTGCTCCTTGGGCTGAGCTTCAGGGCAAAATCTGTACTGACCAATATTTGGTAAGAGTTGGTCTCTCTCCTGCCTGTACTACTTTTCTGCTCTTTCAGGAAGTCCCCAGCCCCTGTTTAAAAATATGTTCTTAAAAATGGGAAAAATTATTCTTCCACTTAAAGCTGACTGGAGTGTGCTGTGTCTTGTCCTGGTTTAGGCTAGGAGAGAGCTAATTTTATTATTTTTTTCCTTCTTAGTAGCTTGGATCCAGTATGGGATTTGGTAAGAGAAGAATATTGACAATGCACTGATGTTTTCAGTTGTTGCTAAGAAATCAAAGACTTTTCAACTTCCCATGTCCTGCTAGTGTGCAGGTGCACAAGAAGCTGGGAGGGAGCACAGCCAGAACAACGGACCCAAACCGGCTGATGAAATATTCCATATCATGCAGTGTGATGCTCAGTATATAGGTGAGGTTGGTTGGGAAACTCGCTCTCGCCTCTAGGACTGCGGTTTCAGGATTCTCTCTTCCCTGGGATCACTAGCCAGGAACATCGGTCAGTGGGTGGTGAGCAATGGCGCTGTGCATTACTAGTTTGTATTTTCTATTATTACTACAATTATTATCATTATTATTTCAATTATTAAGTTGTTTTTATCTCAACCTACTAGTCTCCTTACCTTTACCCCTCCAACTCTTTCCCCCACTCCCTGGGGAAGCAGGAGGGTGAGAAAGTGGCTGCGTGGTGTTTGGCTGTCATCTGGGTTTAAACCGCAACATATCTTATTGCTCAACAATGCAGAAAGTGTTGATTCATCCTCATGGGTCTGCTCCCATTTATTTAAGTAAACCAAAGTTTAGTGTTGCAGAGAATAAAAGCTGAGAGCCAGGTCTAACTGAGGAGCAATGGAGAAAAGGCACTAGGCCACAGATACTCCCCATTTATAAGCTAAAAGCCATCAAACAAATTCAACATAAGACACTACAAATTCAGCATAAGACATTAGAGTTGTTTGGTATCTAGAGGGGTGTAAAGGCACTGCAAACTTTCAGCCAGTATTTGGTGCAATGTCCATGACTTTTCCACAAGGTAAGAAAAGTGAGAATTTAATTAACATTATAAAGTAGTTATTTTTTGTTCAGCTGGTTTAGAGGCCTGGAAGTGACACCTTCCACCCTGAGGACTTTCTCAGCATAGGCCTGCCAGTAAAAAAAGGTGATACATTTTGCAGAGGAAAACACATTTAGTCATGGTTCTCAGAAAACAAGCTGTGAATATTCTGCCCGTTGAAGCACTGATCCTGTAAGCTCCAAGGACGTCGCATGATGGGCTGAGCATCAATAGCTCCTCCAAATTTAACTGGGAGTAGACTGGAATTAGTACATTGCATTACTGAGCTGTTACCAGGACCGAGTACATCTGACTTTAATGAAATTCAACTAAATAGATATTGAAAATACTAATACTACCAAGTTTTTCCATGTGTCATCTTTGTCATGGAAGCTGTAAGATTGCTTCTGGCACAGACTCTTTTGTAGCTGGCAGATACAATACACAGTAAGTCAAACTTTTTTAAAACACAGTAAAGCCAAACTTTTTTAAAATGTGTGGTTTTCCTTTTGTGATGGACTAGCCATTCTGGCACTTCCTCATTTTCCCAAAAAGGAAGAGAGAATTTGAAGCAGATAAAACATAACGGTAACTTTCTTTGGGGTTTGATAAGTGAATTCTGGAAATTTCCATTCAAGACAGTAGGGCTTCTGTTTCTGGAACAGGCTGATAAAGTATTTAATTAGAAGTGTAGCTTTTATTTGTTTTATTAGAGTGATGTGAATAATGCTTCAGTAGTCCAGTCACGTTTAGCTGCTGAGCAGAGGGAGCAGCTAACATTTTGCAAACTATTTAATGTCCCAGTGATGACAATGGCAAGCATGCATGCAGTCCCATAGTCCTTAGTGTATTATATAAATGTTTTCCTCTGCATGGATCTCATCTTCCAGGGCACTATGGTTCCCTGCACGTTCTGGCCTCCAAAATGCAACAAAGCTGCACAAAAAAGTAAAAACCATGCTGTTAAACAAAAAACAGACAATAGAAACACAGAATAGCAGGCAGCTAAGTCAACCAGCACAATGGAAAAATGTACAATATGCAAAAACACTTATTTAAACATGAGTGATAATGAATCATTTTTCCACTTATGAGACAACTCACACTTGAAGCTTGCATGCTCCCTAATGCAATGAACTGACAGTTACACAAATTTTCACTTGTGTTAACAATAAGTAGCAGGATTTATTATTTTCTTTTTGCAATGTTTCCTATTCCTTGAGATTAAAAAAGAAAGTCAAAGTATGTGGAGGAGTGGTCATCAACCTAGTCTGCCCTATCAGCTAAAGCATAAACAGAATACTTACTTTGCAAAGTCACTCGTCTTCTTTGTATTGTACAAATATTCTAAGGACCATCCGGAATGAAAATAAACAGAAAAAAGAAAGAAAAACAAATAATTTTCTTTAAACCATAAGAAGCAAGTAAAGTAGCAGGTTCAAAAAAAAGAATTTGAAGTGTAAGAAACTAAATAAGGGAACTTCAAGCAAATGTTTTCAGTGTAGGAAATCCCCATTATTTCCACAAGATCTAATTCACATGGCTTGCAAGAGCCTCTATGCAGAAAGTCTGGCACACAGAAAAGTATTGGATATAATAATATGAAGCCAGTGCCCCTCAGATTATCATTGGGAAGGAGTGGGACAACATGACAGTGGAGGAATGGGTAGGAGGGAGTGAGTGGAGCAGGAGAGGTGTGCTTGTATCACACATCTCCTCACCAGACCCTGGCCCGACTGGTGCTAAGGAGTCCGAGACATAAAAAGATGAGCCCACATTCGCCCCTTGCCGTCCTGCACCCCAGAGGCTAAGGGGGAGAGCTGAGCAAGTGACCACAGTGCAGGGCACAGAGCGAGGCCATCCAGAGACCTTAGCTCGCTTCCCTACAGCTGAAGACATGTGGCACATGCCACAGCATTCATCAGATGCACCTGACCAATTCTGTGAAAAGTACTTACGTCTAGTGAGGAACAGAGCCAAAATAAGGATGGCTAGAAGTACTGCACATAAACCAATCCCAATGTACAGCCCATTTTCTGAATACTGCTGACCGGAAAGTGTCAGGGACGCGTTCTGTCAAACACAAAACAGATGAGCATTAGTGGCACTGAGAGCAAGAAGCCCATAGAGTACCCAAAGGCTATTTGTGTGTTTTGCAACCCTGAAGTAAAAGTACACTTGAAAGCAAGAGCCTAATTTGAGATACAGGACTAGTTGCAAGCAAAGTCACTGCAAAAGTTGTGTGAACCATGCAGTTAAACACATTATTTTTTGAGACTGTCAAAGAACCTGAAGTTATGACAAATGCTGTATGTTCAGGTTTAATACTATTTGGTGAAACTTTTATTTATGATTATCACCTGATGTCACACCCTCCTGCCTTTTTGACAGCTTGTAGTTATTCAAGACTTTATACTGCTAAGAAAATATGACTTCTCCTGGCATTGGTCTTTATTTAGGCAAAATTTCTTTCTCAAGCCAGCTGTTAGATATCTAACCTCTCTGATTAGCTACTCAGGTCTGGAAAGATGTTGAAGTGCAGTATCATCCCTGACTTACATTCTGCACATGCAGCAGTATGAATGCCCACAGCACATACTGCCTTGTAGTACATCACAGCAGGCTTTCCCCAAGGCTAGCCTGGCTGTCTGCTCTTCCTGATAAAATCTGGGTGATGCTACTGCCTGTCACCCTGCGATATGTGCTGGACGACTCAGCAGGACAGACACAGACCTGCCTGGTTGAACCTCGTTGCATGGGCAGTACAGGGCATCCCTGTGCTGTCAGATCATCCAATTTCAACTCTTTCCCATATCCTGCCATACCTGCAGGTTTGTGGTTACATCCAAGCAGCCTGAGGTGCTTGAGCAGGGACCAGAGGCCTGAAAGGCAATATAGATGTTGCTAAAGCTCTTCCTGCATTAATAGGAAGTATTTTATACATGAATAGCAGGTGGGTTTTTTTCCTTTTTCATAATGAACACATAAGAATTCTTTCATAAGCACTAAACATGCAGACTATAAAAAAAATACTCTTATTCAGACTAAAGCAGTACAAATGAACTGTAGGGATGACCCAATAACCTCTCATGTCTACTCACTCTGTCTAGATATGCTACAGTACAACAGAGATGCTTACAGTCCAAGGAGCTTCTGAAGTAGAAACCGATGGCCACGTTCTTATGATGGTAAAGGATGATTCACTGGTGCTCCTGTGAGCTGAGTAAAGGCAAGACAAACACATCACTTACACAGAGAACCATTCTGCCTTGACAGAGAGAAATTTGCACTGCTGACTTTGGACCACCAAACTTAAGTATCTATCAGGACTCTTGGCTCTGCGTATCATAAAGAGGTTGGTGCCTTCAGAGGGCAGCACAAAACTCTGAATACTGGGGCTTCTGCTGCCCTTTTCAGAGCTTTGAAATCCTTCCAGGAAGCACTTAGCTCCTGATGTTATCCCAACACAGGGCCTAGAAGGAAGGAGTTACCACAGTAGGCATCTGGATTTGGAGCCGAGGCAGTGGATGCCTAAAGCAAACTTAGGTTATCTGATAAAAACTGATTAAGGTTAGCTCAGGGCGTTGAAAGAGCAAGTGGTACAGAGTTGGCGAAAGCAAGTGATACTTGGGAAGTCCCAGACAGCTACACAATAAACAGACTGACCAAAGTGTGGTATGTTTGCATAAGGACTTGCAGCAAGCAAAGCAACTCCAGCTGGTTCTTCTGATGTTTTAAATTGCTAGCCTTATCCCAGAAGCTTTATACTGAAGAGGACATGATCATCTGCTTCGCTGTTCTCTTCCACTGGAGATGCTGGAGTGTTCCTACATCAGAGGCACATGGCCACCTGCCTTTTCCAGTCTCCCTCTGTGTGAGCATGCACATATTAGCTTACGTTCTGAAAACATAAAAAATTGTTCCACCAGCAGCTAAGGAAGATGTCACAGGGTTAAGAAAACCCGTGAGTTCTAAGATTGGAAGCCATGTTATTTGCAACTAGAACAGAAACAGTCTGAGAAACTTTTCACTTCTTCTTCCAAAAAGGAAATGCAACTATTGTAACATGTTAGAGCTGCTTAGATGGAAATATCTGAGATGGAGGGAAAAATACAAATGGCATCCCTGATTTTTCTTTCCAAATCCAGAGACTAAGCTATTGTTACACTATGTACTCTCTCTTATGTACTAGAAATTAAAGTTGTCTTTTCAGTCAGAAAAAGACGCAGCTGAGTATACAACAGAATTCTATAAACTTGTGAGTGGAAAGGAGAAACCAAGTGAGGAATAGTTGTTCACTGTCTCTTCCACTATAATGAGGGGCCTCACATTATTAAATATGCATAGGCTGCAGAGGATGCTGGCAGCCTCTGAGACACACATTATACCAGGGTAGAATACTTTGGTGCAAAATTACTGCCCTGTTTCTACAATTCTCCTTAATCATCTACTGTTGACTACTACTGAGAGAGGATCCTGAATTAGACGCACCTTGGAGCTAGCCCAATACAGAGTGACAAAGAAATTGATTAAATAGTGGGCACACCCAACTCCTAAAAATTTGTGTTTTACTGTTCATGGAATGCATTTCCAGAAGACAAGGTGAGATTTTACACCACAAAAACAACATAACAAAACAACAGCCACCAAAAAAACAATGCTTGCAGCACCAATAAAACATCTACTTAAGCATAACAGCTGGAAGCAAACTTCCACATTGTTGCCACACACATATGTTCCTTCTGTTGGACTTTCTATATACTGTCAGGTGGAATTTAAATCCAAGTTCTGATCTCCAGTTCTACGGTAATGTTTAGAAAATTTTAGCCAAAACATTTCTATCATCTATCTTTTTTTTTCCTTCCTAAGATCCCCATTTGCAATACACCTTATATATACTATTGAGATTAATACTTGGATAAAAATTACCTGAGGTCTGTTCAGAGGTGTGAGTGTGAGGACTTGCAGTAGAGATCCTAGCTGATGTTAAAAAAATAAAACAAAACCAACATACATTATAATTAACCTTAGTGTGTATTTCTGTAGGGAAAGAGAAAGTGTTTCTATAATAAAAATTTACTAGCACCAGCTACGCAAGTGTATCTGTCAGCCACTTGTTCCATATATTACTATGCTTTTTACAAACAAGAGAAAAACTAAAAATGAAAGGAAGAGTTGATTAAAAAAAAAAAAAAGTCTATACTAATTTTGTGTCCCTGGACTTTACTCTGAAATCAAGCAGGGAAAATGAAGCACTGTTTTCTCTGAAAAGGGTATGAGTACAGTGCTTCAGATGAATGAAGTACCCTATGCTGCTGTGTCTCTTAAATTCTTCAAATAGTGCTTCTAAGAAAGCTCAGCAGTGCTGTGCACCATGAAACAAAGCAACATATGCTTTTTTTAACTGTAGTGACTGCACTAGAATTACAACAATACCAGACAGCTTAATTTAAGCAGCACTGTAACAGCAGATCTGCAAAGTCCTAAAGATCGGTGGATGATTATAGAAATCATTTCCACCACAAGCTTTGAAATTCAGACTCAACAGCAGATTTACCACAATAGTACTGACACGAGAGAGCACTCCTGCACTCACCTTTTTCTATCACAACCTTGTGATTACTTGTCCGATCATTGAACCACCCTGAGATCTCCACACGGCAGCAGTATATCCCACTGTCTGCTTCCTCGGCGTTCACGATTGTGAGGGACACGTCACCCATCAGCAGGTTCCCTTTCAAAATATACCTGCTGCTGTACCGCTGTGTCACCTTCCACCCATCGGTCCAGATAATGGGCCGATAACATTTTGAAGCAGGGCAGCTGTCACGACCCCAGCACATTGATGTGATGTCTTGTGTCCCCTTAACAGGGTAAAAACAGGGCACAGTGATATTCTGACCGACCTCTCCTTTCACAAGTGATCCCGATACTATGGGGCCTGTGGACAAAAAGACACAGTTGTTGAGCACAGTACGCGCAAGTGGAAGCATCTTGCGCACCTTGCATGACCCGATACTTCCCACTTTGCAAACACCACCAGGCATTGCTGGATCAGGCTGTTCGCAAACAGATGTGAATCCCAGCAGGTCCCGACAGTGAGAGATAATGATCGGGCCAGTGATTCATTCAGAACGTGTCTCTAGCTACAGAAAGAAAAAACACACTTTCTGTAGCCTTTGCAGGTAGGCGCAGAGGTGAAGAGAGAACAGAGTTTGGATCTGCACATCTCAGTGACTTCTGTTTAGCCATGTCCAGTCTGTTAGCTCTTTAGCTTTTAACTTAACACAGATTTAATCCGAGCCACACATGGGGAAAGGATACATTGATTTTCATTAAAAGCACTGTGGGAAACTCTTCCTCTCTCTCAATGAGAAGCCACGAAATGACGCGTTTCATCAGAATGATCACTGCTCGACATGTTTCCTTTTTTCTTGACTAATGACAGATTTTGCCTAATCCTACCAGAAGAGATTGTTTCAGAGCTTTTCTGAGAAATATTATACTCTCTTTTTACTGCCTTATTTTCTTATTTCATTCTTATACAGTTTCTAAATTGTTTGATTCCCATTAAAAGTATTTCTTCATGTTTCCAGAAGGCTGTGTCACACTATTCAAGTCAAAACAGTGAGACCTAGCAGCCAGTAGGTCATTTATCTCAGTGAGAAAGTTTCTTTTGCTGTATTTAGACCACTCCAATATTCCCTTTAGGAGGGTTTTAATAAAAGCTGTATTAAGTGCCAGCCAAATCACTTGTGCCCTGGTGATCCAGTCACAGCCACCCTGTAACCACCTTCTAACAGGAGTGGGGCTCCTGAGGTACACATTTTGTCTGCTTGTACTTCAGAGAAAACTGTTTGCCACATACATACCACTACGCATTTATTATCAAATTCAGTAACATGGGATCACATGTGTAAATATTTCTATCCATATTAATATTTCAGAGATAGAATTCTCTGCAGCAAGTACAGGCAACAAATTCTCTCTACTGAAATTCTAGCCCAGTCTATAATTAGGAAGGGAGCTCCCCAAGGCAGGTCTGCAAACATGCACCAGTGGATCCCAAGCACTGGATGGCTTGATTGCATTTGTCCCTTGTGAAAAAGCTGTTTTCCCCAGCTCAGCTCATTTTCCTAACCTAAGCCATTATGGTTAAAAATAAGTCTGAATTCAGAGACTTTGCCACAATAGCATACTAGAAACCATTCTCTGAAAAGAACGTTATTTTATTTAATATAAAAAGCAAGCTCTAAATGAATCTCATCACAAAAGGCTTTAAAAAGAAGTAGAGGGAATAATGTCTGTAATATACCTTTTCTTTCTACTGAACATACTCTACTACCAAATTTTTCATGTCTATCTGCCTATACTAGTGCCACTCTGCAATCTGTTGTTTTCAGTGATATTGCCTTTAGCGGCATTTTCCTAGGAGGACTGCTTTCTCAGAATAAAAAAAGATAAATTATCAATTTGTCCAAAAAAAATGTCATATTGGCTAAAAAACACCAGAAGCCACAGCTGACCTCTACATGGTCTTGTTTTAAAAGGGAGGCAAGGCCATCAGAAGACTATTGAACCAGGGTGATAAAGTTCTATTCATAACACAAACCTGCAGTTTCTGAACGATGTGGCCACTCTTTCTGTGCAACACAAAATCTGTTTGCAAGCCTCAAACATTGATGCATGTGACCTCCATCCACCCTCCATCTATTCATCTAGGCCCACTTAGTTACCTGTAAAGAGGATCAAAAGAATCCAGTTCACGCAGAAATAAGACGACATTGTGGCAGAAGATGAGGAACAACACTCCTGTTCACAGTTCAGGCACCTACATTCAAGAAAACTTATCTTCTTTTTAAACTTCTGGTTTTATTTCTCAGCATGTCCTATTCAGACACAGCTGAGAATGCCCTTTTGTCTGATGCGGATTGCCTTTCCCGTGGTTATTCTGTCAGACTCCAGCAGCACAGCCAACCACTGCTGCTGGTAGCACACACTGCTCAACTCTTGTAGGCTGTGGTTTGACTAAGAGGCTAAAATACGTAAACAGTACTTCAGAAATCTACTTCTCTTTTTTTCCGGTTCTGCTTGATTACAGCAGATGAAACTTGTCAGCTTCACTGAGCTGACACAGCTATCAGTAAACCATTGGCCCCTACTGCTTCCCACATATTTTTTTGCCATTTGGATAAGAGATTACATAGGATATGTAACAGACTGCGGTAAGCAGAAAGGACTTGGCAAAATAACCAATTCCTAGGAAGAATTACTCAAGCATTTAATCATAAGTTTCTGGTTCTAATACTTAGAAGCACCTCAGAGCATCTTTAGGCAAATGCTATTTTCTTTGTAGGCTGTAATTTGGCAGTGTTGGAAAGCTGCCCTGCTGTTACACTTGTAGCCTAGTAAAAGTTGCATTCCATCATCTGACTGAAACTCTGTATGCACCTGGGCTTTCGCAATATAAAGTAACACAGACAGAACACAGAGGTCACTTGAAAAGTAGTGTGGAAACCATGTTGTCCCAGGCTCAAGGCTCCCTTTGACAAAAAGTTTCTGAAATACAGCTTCTGAGAAATGGTGCTCCTTGGCCACTTTTCCTGTTCCTGGATTACCTAACTCTTCTTAAGGACTCCATGTTTGGACTAAAACTGCAGCTGTGATCATGTGTATTTGATTGAGGGCCACAAATATTCTTTGCTGAAGTAACTGATCAACTTTATATTGTTTATACAGACAAAATTAAGTTGTAAGGAGCTACTTATTATCAATAACTGAAACGGCAGAAATGCTTCCAGAAACATGCATTAGGCTAGAATCAGAACCAACAGAGCTGTCTGCCACAGACTACCTTACATGAGAGCAGAGTCACCAGGGACAGTTTAAGTGAAAAGGAGGAAAAAACAAGGGATTAAAGTAGCCAAGAGACAGACATTAAAAATTAGGCATTTTTGTAAGGTCAAGACTACTTATAATTTACATCTAAGAAAATTAAAATCCAATTAATTTTAATTCATTTAGTTGTGGAGATTCCTCACAGTGTACATCTATAAGGCAAATTACACCATATTACATCTGTAATAAAGGAATTCTTAGGTTCTCTTTAGTAGTTATATTATTACAGAACTAGAAAGGAATGGATTTTGCAGACTTTACACTAATCTTATTTTTAATATTGAATTACACATTCCTGAAAAGACCCACTGAAATTGTAAACAACTAGTACTTATTTGAAATAGAGGACTTGTTGACTACAGTTCCTCCCAGTCAGATCTCTTACTTGTTTCCACACTATAACGCAATTTAAAAAAACACAAACATACCCAAAAAAGCAGAAAGTGATAAATGAAAGTACAAAACAAAAATCTAACTTTAATCTGTGGCTACCAACTCACACGATACATTTAACAGAAAGTATACTTTTTTGTTTCTACTAATAAATGCACAGTTACAAAATACTAAACATCTTCATCTGCCTAGTCACTCACAACCTCCAACAGGTGTACAATAAACACTTTGCCTACTTGTACAACAGCAAAACAAAATACAACATATACCTTCAGAATCCATCCTAGCTCTCACTATGGTGAGCTAACAAGAAAAAGTGTTTTCTTCATGTCATTTCATCAATAATGCTACACATAGCTGCATCTTTGTCTAAAACCTGATCTCTCTTGCCACCAGAACGCTCTCTCTGCTTTTCACTCTGTCCGATGCAGTTGCTGCCATCATCAGTATCCATTGTTTCTGTTTTTATTCCCAGTCCTCCCTCTGAATGAGGCAGATCATCAGGCAAGGAAGCCAGGCAGTTCTGAATCATCTCTACAACTCGCTCTAAGTGCTTCTGAAATCGCTCTGCTGTTTCCAAACGCTGACGTTTCTGCACCTCCATCATGACTCTTAGTGTCTCCCTAGCTTGGTGAGGGCGATACTCATTTATAAGATGATGGACATGAACAAAGAGTAGTTTCAAGTCTTCCAGTTTCTCCTCCCGCTTTATACTCCCCGGACTCCTGATCAAGATATCCAAGAGGTCCAAAAAGTTGACCAGTATAGACATATTAAGTTTTCTTAATTCCTTCTTGTGATCAAACTGCATAGGATGTAACCTTTCAATACCCTGGCTCTCCAAGGGTCGAATAATTAGATCATCACATTGAAACTGATTACCAAACATCATATAACTGTCTTTCACAGGCGGAGGTGGCTTTGGAGCCAGGCCTTTACGGATATTTTCATCAGTATATTCTTTTATGTATTGCATTGGAGGCGGAGGAAGGGCACTCACTTGCTGAGGTTCACCCATTTTTGTCAGACGAAAATACCTAGGGAATGTCCCAAGAAATATATGTTAAACAATTTGTATAACAGCCTTATCATATAACTAGAAACAAAGGCAATATAAGAGAGCTGGCCGTGCAAAAATGAGCTAGAAGCAAGCTATCCAGTGCGTAGAATTCGGGAAACTCCCACATAAATCCACGTTAGCTTTTCGCCAAGCCGTTAGCTTTTAGTGGGATTAACTTCACTAGAAGCACATAAAGCATTAATTTCTCGAAAGACCAGCCTGCAAACAGAGGAGCCTTCCCTAGCCGAGGCCTGGCCCGCTAACACCTCGCCCCACAAGAGAGAAAGGGCGCAGCCCTCAGGGGAGAATGCAGCCTAGCACCCCGGGCCCACAGCTGCCGCCGCCTGCTGCGCTCCGGGCCGGGCCAGGCCAGGCTCTGGGAAGGCCCAAGCCTCGCCGCGGAGATCGTCAGGCCTCCGCTGAAGAGAGAACCGGGAGCGCACTACGACCAGACCCCACCGACGACTGCGCACACACCCGGCGGAGGCGGCAGCCCCGCTCGCAGCCCGCAGC